TACTTTTTTTATATGTTTGAAATTTTTCCAACATATAGGTACATAAATATACATGAGTCTGTGTTTGCGTTACTGAGAGGCTACCAAAAATTAATAACAATAATTCCTGAAGAACTTATGATCCTGCACCTAAGAGACACTAAAGAGCAAACCTTAGTATTCTCTTCTCCCTGACGAGCTTTAAGGAGGCTAGGTTATAACTGTCCCATGCAGACTTGAGATTTTGTCTTGATCAAATCCATGTGATGGAGAAGGAATTTCAGATGTCCAGGGAGGATCACTTTCTTCTAGAGCAACATGTCTCAGGAGAGCAACTTCTAAATGAAACCTTTCCATGCACCTTCCCCGAAAAGCAGCAGCTGGGAGCAGCCCAGAGTTGCAGGGGCTGGGCCAAGTGTAAGGGATATGATACGTGGTTGTGGTGGTGCGCTCAACATCATACACCAAAGACTAGGTGAGAACCAAAGCAACAACAAAAAATATTGTTTAAGTATAAAATGGACTGGATAAACACAGGGCACCAAAATACAATGCCAAGTACACTAAGATGGAGAGAATCTAAATAGGAAGAGGGTGGAAAGATACAAAAGGAAAACACAACTATTTCCCTAGAGGGCCTTTTTGGGGTTTTTTCATGCATCAGAAGCAAATCAGGAGCCAGCAGACTGACTGGTGGATAAAATAAGAAAATGAATGTAAAAGTGCTTCAAAAACACATAGGAGAATTTGCTCAGAGGCTATGAACAGCAGATGAGGTTGTCTGAAGGCCTACTATGTGTGAGGCATTGTTCTAAGCTCCTGGCACACAGTAGTTAAAAAATAAAATTTCCTGCTTCATTGGCCTGACATTCCAGTGGGGGAGACAGATAAATGTATTTACCAATTATTTAAAAGTGTGATAATTTCACCTAAGAAGATTGATTGCTGGCTTCTTTTTAAAAATCAGAAGATCTGGCAAGGCTCGGTCTGTTCCTGAGTGGCAACAAGAGGCTGGAACTAATGGCTGCTTCCTTTAGACAGGAAATGTGGCCTCCAGTTCACTGGAGTCCCCACCATTCTCTATTGTCCTATACTCTACCTACTTCACTCATTTGTTACCTGCCTGAGTCTGCAAGCTTTTGAGTCTGTGCCCTGGCTACTCTCTAATATCTCCAAGCTACTTATGATACTTGCCTCTCCTAAAACCACTAAATAGACCCAGGAGAATATGAGTGACCTCATTCTTATCTGAATCTGAAGCCTGCCTTGCCACTTAACCTGATGTAACCTTGGGCAGTTACATCACCTTGCTGAGGTCTCAATGTTCTCGATTCTAAAATGGAAGTAATCATATCTGTTTTACAGAATTTTTGTGAGGACGAGGCTTTACCTAACTCGTTCTTACTCCTTTGGATCTCATCCCTAGCACTGCTTCAGAAAACCCTTCCCAGACCTTGTGACTAGTTAGAACTCCTCTAATATGCATAGGTTCTCAGCACCGTGTTTCTGTTCTTGGTAGTACCCTCCACTGTTACAAGTGTACATTAGTTTGTGGATTATCTGATTAACGCCTGCCTCTCCCACCAGAATGAAAACTCAATAATGGCTGGGGATCCTGTTTTTGCTCACCACCTCTCACCATAACAATAAACATTTTAAAAGAAAAAAAGAAATGCAGTAAAGAAAAGTTAGCTATATAAAGACTTTGATACAAACCCTGCCACGTAGGAGTCGCCCAAGAGATTCTCTCTGACCCTTCCTCACCTAATGCCTGTTATGTACATAGTACTCTAAGCCTCAAGGATGCTAGAATTTGCACATCAAATCTTAACTAATATTTGCTCTGCAAAAGAAGTCACTAAGCTGTGTTTTCTAATAGGCCATCGTACCTCCTTAGAACACAAATTTGTTGTGCCCACTGATGCATACCAAGTGCCTAAAACACTGCCTAGCACACAGTAGGTGCTTAATACACACTGGGGAAGCTGGCTCCAAGGTTCTGTAGGAGTTGGGAGACAGGACAGTACCAGGACGGAAGAAGATGGGGGGGGAGCGGCTGGTCAGATGGACTCTGATCCCCAAATCCCTTCTGCTCCTGTTTAGAAACACCCACGGACCACACAGCAGGAGGCAGTAAGAACCCCAAAGATGAAAAGGCCTCAGGGAAACCACAGGCATCCCCAGGCCCTTCCGCAAAGGGAGACGCAGCAACACGCCGTGTCCCTCCGCGAAGGGAAGGAGGTCCCACCGAGGGGCCCCGCCACCAGAACGCCCGTCGGGAGCCACAGAGAGCCTCAGGCAGGAACATGGCACACGATCCCTCCGCAAGACAAAGGAGTCCCCACGCCCTGCGTGTTCTTCCGGAACAAAAAGGACTTTGAGCCGCCTGCCCAGTAGTGCTCCTCCACCTCAGGGATGTCTCTCCTCCGCCTAGATTCTCCGCCTGAAACAGGACTCGGACTCCCCTTCCCCATACGGTTTCACCGTCTCCGGCGGAATGTCTACTGGAGTCCCACTGTGTCCCTCCGCCCCGGGGAAGACCCTCCGCCTCCCTCAGCTCTAAAGTCCCTCAGCGGCAAGTCGTCGCGCTGCGCTCTCTCGCGAGAGTCCACCACGCAGCCCCCTCCCCCCAGACCCTCGCCCGCGAGGAAGCCTCGCGCGGACCCCGCGGCGCTCGGTTGCGGGCGGCGCATGCGTAGCCGTGGCTCCCAGCGACCCCTGCGCTCTCCGCTGGCCGAGTGGTCGAGGCTGAACGCGAGGAGCCGGCCGCCGCCCCCTGAGAGGCCTATGCTTCGTCCCACGGCTCCGCTCCCCTCCGGGAAGAACCGTTCTGCGGCCTTTGCTCGGCGTGCAGAAGGTTTCTTGAGGACGGCTGGGGCCGCTGTGGGCCCAGAAAGAGCCCGGCGCTGGTCTCGGACACCGCCGGACCCCACCGGACACCCGCGCGCCCGCGGTGGTGACCCGGGGCCGGGCGGGGCCTGCACATCCGGCCCCACCCACTCGGGGCCTCGCCTCTCGGGAGCCTGACCCCGGGGTATCTGACACACCCCCTCCGGCCCGGGCTATCCGCCTCCGTCCATCCCCTCAATCCGCTTGTCCTCGAGTCCTTTGGTTTCCGTCATTGCACTAAAAGGGATGCACCCTAGAAAATCACATTGCGAGGACACATCTTGTTTGGAGAAGAGACTGAGTTTTTGGACCTTAGGGTACACGTTAACCTATTCAAGGGCCTCAGATAGATTTGATTAATCAGCTTTGAGTACCCTGTTCCTGCTGACACTGTCGTTTTCCCTCCCTACCTTACCACAATTCCAAGAACATTAAGCAGGGACGTCTTGGAAGCTTACTGGGCCCCTACTTTGAGCTAGACGTGAGGCTGACCCCCAAGGTGGAGTATGGCTGCAGCCCTGGACTCTCAGATCGACGCTCCCTTGGAAGTTGAGGGGTGCATAATAATGAAGGTGGAAAAAGACCCCGAGTGGACATCAGAGCCCATCCTGGAAGGATCAGATATCTCTGAGTCTGAGACCTTTCGCAAATGCTTCAGGCAATTCTGTTATGAGGATGTGACCGGACCCCATGAAGCTTTCAGTAAACTCTGGGAACTTTGCTGCCGGTGGCTGAAGCCAGAAATACGTTCCAAGGAGCAGATACTTGAACTGCTGGTGATTGAGCAGTTTCTCACCATTTTACCCGAGAAGATTCAGGCTTGGGCACAGAAGCAGTGTCCGGAAAGTGGAGAGGAGGCGGTAGCGCTGGTAGTACACTTAGAGAAAGAGACTGGAAGAGTAAGACAGCAGGTGAGACAATTTTCCAAATTTTTGTATTTAGAAAGAAGGGAATGAGAAAGGCATGTGGGCAGCGATGTATTGCAAGAAGTGGTGCTTATTATGGAAAGATAAATGGTACTAATAAAAGACCCTTAAAGTAAATCCACTTAAAAGGGGATCAGAATTTTATACTAAGTAGAAGAATAAAAGCTTTGATTGAAATACTATCTTGCAAATGAAACTAAACATTATGTACCCAAGTATTTGTTTTAATCTTTGGCATAATATTTGCAACAAAAATATATGAGAGAACAATATGGTTATGCTTCATAGGGGTTGACTTTTGCAGCTTGATCAAAGAAGGCTATTTTTGCTCCTTCCCTCAAAAAAAGATGAACTCCATCTGTTATCCTAGAGTCCTCTCTAATTGTTTAATATTCCAGTCAGTGTCTTCTGAAGTGCTCTCATTGCCATCATCCTTGTCACTCCAGTTTAACTGCCAGATCTTCATTTTTCAGTAGCTTCGCATGCTCATCTAGTTCTTTTTCAACACACCTTTCATTAACCTCATGAAATCCTGCAGCTTTTGCAAGATTTGCAGTTTTACCTTACACAGGATTTGCACTGTGTAAAATATATCAGCAGGTAGCTGTGTTGATCAGGGATAGATAGACAGATGTGGAGATTAATTTTGTAAGTTTTCAGTTCACTAATGAATATATTTATGTTCTGATAACTTTTTTCTGTGAACCTAGTAGATGTGAGGACTCAAGTAACAGCTATTCTAGTAATAGGGAGGCTATGTATTTAACTCCTGACAGATTTTTTCCCCACTAAATAGTAATAAAGAGCACTCTTCTGTTCCTTTATGCCCAGACTCCTAGACAGTACTGTTAACCCAGTGCCCTCAGAGACACCCTTAGAAATGGAGTGAATTTTTCATTCCTTCTTATGTCTTGTATCCTTCTTCGATCTCTTTCTTGGGAGAATTTGGCCCTGATTTGGACCTCTTTTCCTGCCTTTTTCCATTTTGGTATTGACTTTATTTCCCAGGTCAGTAGTCCTGTACACAGAAAGAAGCAAGCCCCACTTGGAGCAGCTTGGGAGATGGCAGACTTTCAGCCAGACCAGATGGAGACCCAAGCCAGGGTGGTATCTCGGGAGGAAGCTGGAAACCTCCACTCAGGACACCAGGAACAGCTGAACAGAAAGAAAGAGCATCAACCCTTACCCAAGAATGGTAATCAGGCCTCAGGGCATGCCCAGTACAGAGACTGTGCAGATTTATATTGTATCCCTTACACTGTGTATTGCTTAGTGTAGGGTCCCCTAATTATATATGTGAAAGTAAATTGAATATTTGGGGAGAAAGGCTTCAAGAGTTGGGAACATATGCAACATAAGGAAAAAGGTATCTTAAAGATGGAAACTGGGAAAACTTAGATTGCCTGGGCCAGCATTGAGGTCTTGTAGTGTTATTTTCGATCTCCATTCCACAGTCAGCTCGTTTTTTAGTCCTGCTATATGTGTATGTGTATGTGCTCTTGGCTGACTGTAAACAACTTGAAAAACTGTTTGGAAAGGGAAACAAAACATTTATATTTAAAAATTACTCAGAAGTGAAGGCATCACAGAAGTGGCATAATGAAAGAGATAAAAAGTAAGTCTTCACAGAAAGGGACCACTGATGTTCACAGCTGCTCTAGCCATTAATAAATCAAGTCAAATACAAGGAAATGAACACTCTGTCCTTCCCAGTCCACAGTGATCTGTCCGTCCCTTGAAGTGTGGCTCTATCTCAGGCTTAAAGAGAGGAATGGTAAAATCACCGGGCCTACGGTCCAAAGACTTTCATTTATATCCTGTCTCTGCCACCCTCTCTCTGTGATCTTGGTAAGTAATATGAAAAGGAGCATTAATGCATAGAGGTTAAGAGGTTAGGCTGTAGAGGCCGACAGACCTGGGTTCAAAACCTAGCTCTGCCATTTTTTATCTGTGTGGCTTTGGTCAGGTACTTAACTTCTCCAACTTTCCATTCTTTCTTCTGTAGAAGGGAAATAAAAAGGTCATTAGTGTAGCACAATTACTTTTAAACTTCAAATCTGATTTATACAGTCCTGCACTGAGAGGCAAGATTGACTACTACCATATCCCACCCTTTTACCCATCCCCACATTCATATTATGATATAATGTGTTGCAAATATTAGTGGTTTCTGAATTATCCAGAGTGTGTTAATTAGCATCAAAGCTCCCTAGTTCACATGGATTAGATGGCCCCAGTGACTCTAACCTATAAAGTTAGTGCAAAAAATACCTATTTGTGATTATTTCAGGGTTTTGTACCCCAAGCCAACAAGGAATTCCTAAAGTGGAAAAGTTGAAGTACTAACTAGGGGTATGGAGGACAGAAAATTTGAGGGATAGATATCTCAGAAAGATGAATTCATTCTAAGGGAAGATGTATGATTCCAGCCATGTGTGCCTCAGGGATTATGATGGTTCCAAGGAAATGATTTGATTTGCTTCTTTAGAAAGTAGTGGAGCAAGCTTTTGACATTTTAGTCACAAGTGATGTTTATTCTTGAAGTCTACCCTAGATAGGGAAGAAGACCACAAATTGTGCTGTATAGGTGTTTATTTGTCTTCCTTCCACCCTTGGAGGGGTTTATTTGCCTGTAGAGTCCATTACTATGTATTTGTGTATGCTACATTCTTAGGACAATATTCACTCATAGGGAACTTATACTAGAGATCACAAAATGGTAACTTGTATGCTAAGTCAGACTTCTTTTGTTTCATCTACAAAGAGTTTTCATTTGGGGGCTTTGTTGTTTGTTTTTAGTTCTCAAGGTTTAAGACTTCAGAGATTTCATATAAAGTCCAGATTTCTGGCTTCTCTTGAAAAATCAAGAAGCTTTGACTCTACAAGAGCCATAGCCTTAGTCTCACATTGAAGCATCCGCTGGAACTGGGACATTGACTGTCCCCTTCCCATGGGACATGTGCTCTCTAGTTCCCCACAGTCCTTACCTAGCCCCCTTAATCATGTACTTTACCTGCTCACAACCTGAAAGCACTAGAGTTTGTGAGCCTGGCTTTAGGATACTGTCATTTGGGGCATTGTTCTGAATTCATCAAGAAAATGATCTATTTGTATTTGTTGGTTTTTAAATACATGCTCATTTCTCAATAGGAGAAGCATCAGGAATTAAAGGGCCCTAGCCCATAATACTAATTATTTCTTTCTCTTTTTACAGCTCGACCTTCTCCCTGGGTTCCTGCTCCTTCTGGTGAATGGAGCACCACAGATCAAGAAGTGACAGCCACACGACTTCCTTCTGGGTCCCAGGTAAATTGTAATTGTCCTTTCTGGCCTTCCTTAGTGCTTAGTCACTATGATTTCCTGTGCTTTTTAATATCCTCAAATTTGTATATTCCTTCCAAGATACTTTTTCCCCTTTATTCCTTTTCCAGAAAAAATTGGACCAAGTCTTCTGAGTAATGGGACTCCTTGCTGGATCATGTCTCTTACCTCATCTTATGATTCTTTATTTTATCTTCTGCTTCATTTGGCCCATAGTATATACTTCACTCCTTGGCTTCAATTCTTATTTAGGGCCCATCTCTGCTTCATCCATGATCATTCATCTTTTGGAGGTCTACACAGTTATCTTGGTAGTCATTGATGTTAGTGTCGTTACAGAAACCATTGAAAGATGTCCACATCATGAGAGGTTTTTCCTACAAAAAGAATGTGCATCAGATTCCTGCTCACAGAGACCTCTACCGGGGTATCAGGAAGGAGAGTGTTGGGAACATGGTCTCCTTGGGTAAGGATTCTTTTCCTTTCCAAATAAAAGACTTGGGGATTACTAGTATATTTATTTCTACTGATTATAAAATAGTCAGATATAAATGTTAACACTTAAAGAGGATTTCCATGGATTGTCTAATTTAATTACTTATCTAGGTTCTCTTACCTCACCCATTCTTCCTTCTAGTAAAAAATAAAATAGTGATTAAAACATTGGAGAGAAGTTATATTTGACTGTCATATTTATATTATAGAAAATGGCCTAGCATAGTAGGTGGTGTTATCCCCAGGAAATTGAGGCTTAAAGAAGTTAAGAAACTTCCCCTGGTCAAAAAGTAAAGTAAGCAACGTAGCTAGGATTCAAATTTAAGGCATATATTTATGTCTTCAGTATTATAAGGTAGCAAACTCATTTGCTTCCTGTTCTTACCACTATTTCCTATTAACATTACCAGAATGTCTCTGAAAGTTGTTTTTTTTCTGAGTTTATGAAATATTTTATGTTTTCAATAAATACTTATGAAACCTATATCTGTACTTTTATGTTTTCAATAAATACTTAATGAAACCTACATCTGTACTAATTATAAAACATGAAATCACAGATTATTTTTCCACTTCATGTAGTAGAAGAGTAGATTTCAGTCTCTTTTGAGGAAAAAGGTAACTTTGATATGTCTCAGGACCAGGAACCTAAGTTATAAGGCTTTTCTGCCCTCCACCCCCATAACTCCTTAAACAAAACAACTACACCTTATTTCTTGAATGTATCTGTTTGTGGAGTCCTATAAGTTTTTATCTGAAAATTAGATTCTTCTGCCAAAAATTTTTTCCAGCTTTTATTGAGGTAAATTGACATATAAAAGTGTGTATATTTAAGGTATACAACTTAATGCTTTTATATATATGTACACATTGTGAAATAATTACCACAACCTAGTTAAATTAACACATCTATTATTTCATAGTTACCTTTGTATTGGGGTGTACATGTGTAGTGAGAATACTTAAGGTCTAATCTTTTAGTAAGTTTCAAATATACAATATAGTATTATTAGCTATAGTCACCATGCTATACAATAGACTCCCAAAACTTATTAATCTTATAAGTAAAATTTTATACTCTTTGACTGACATCTTCCTATCCCCCTCATAAACCCCTGTCAATCACCCAGTCACCATTCTGTTCTCTCTATTAGTTCAACTTTTTTAGATTCCCTATATAAGTGGGATCGTACAATATTTGTCTTTGTCTGGCTTATTTTACTTAGCATAATGCCCTCTAAGTTCATCCATTTTGTCACAAATGGCAAGATTTCCTTCTTTTCTATGGCTGAGTAGCACTCCATTATTTGTATATATTTACGTATGTCTATATGTATATATTCTTTATTTTTACATTTTGACTATTCATTTATCCATCAGCAGACACTTGGGTTGTTTCCATGTCTTGGCTATTGTGAATAATACTACAATGAACATAGGAGTGCACATATTTCTTCAAAATATTGATTTTGTTTCCTCAGGGTATATACCCAAATGTGGGATTACTGGATCATATGGTAGTTCTATTTTTAATTTTTTGAGGAACTTTGTATGGTTTTCCATAATGATTGTACCAACTTATATTCCCACCCACGGTGCACAAGGGTTCCCTTTTCTCCACAGCTTCACCAACATTTTTTATCTTTTGTGTTATTTACAATATTTTTGATTTAAAAATAATAATTGTATATATTTAGGGGGTACAATGTGATGTTTTGATACATGTTTACATTGTTGAGTGATTAAATCAAGCGAATTAATAAATCTATCATCTATCACCTCACATGGTTTTCATTTTTTTATGGTAAAAACATTAAAATATACTATTTTAGCAAATTTGAAATACACAATGCATTTTTTATTTATTATAGTCATCATTCTATGCAGTAGGTCACTAAAACTTAATCCTCCTAACTGAAATTTTGTATCTTTTAACATCTCCCCTTTTTCGCCATCTGTCCTCCCCCAGCCTGTGGTAGCCATCATTCTACTGTCCATTTCTGAGTTTGACTTTTTTACATTCTGCATGTAAGTGAGATCATGCAGTATTTGTCTTTCTTTGCCTGGCATATTTCACTTAACATAAAGTACTCCAGGTTCATCCATGTTGTTGCAAATGACAGAATTTCCTGTTTTTTTTTAAGACTGAATGGTATTCCACTGTGTATATATAACACATTTTCTTTATCTGTTCATCTAATGGTAGACACTTGGTTGCTTCTATATCTTAGCTATATGTGAATAATACTGCATTGAACATGGCAGTATAAATATGTCTTTGGTATACTGACTTGAATTCATTTGACTATATACTCTGTAGTGGTATTGCTGAATCATATGGTAATTCTATTTTTAGTTTTCTGTAGAACCTGTTTTCCATAATGGTTGTACCAATTTACATTTCCACCAACAGTACACAAGGGTTCCATTTTCTCCTTGCCAACACTTACCATCTTTAGTCTTTTTGATGATAACCATTCTAACAGGTATGAGGTAATAGTTTATTGTGGTTTTGACTTGCATTTCCCTGACAATTAATGATGTTGATCACCTTTTCATTTATTTTTTGGCCACTTGTATGTCTTTGGAAAAATGTCTATTCGGGTCCTTTGCGCCATTTTAATTAGATTATTTGTTGGGTTCTTTTTGTTTGTTGAATTCCTTGTATATTTTAGATATTAACTTCTTATCAGATATATGGTTTGCGTATATTTTCCCCCATTCCATAGATTGTCTCTTCACTTTGTTGATTGTTCCCTTTGCTGTGCAGAAGTTTTTTAGTTTGAAGTAGTCCTACTTACTTATTTTTGCTTTTGTTGTACTTTTAATATCATATCCAAAAACATTAATGCCAAGACCAATGTCAAGGAGCTTTTTCTCTGCTTTCTTCTAGGAATTTTATGGTTTCAGGTCTTACATTTAAGTCTTTAATCTATTTTGAGTTAATTATTGTGAGTGATGTAAGATAAGTGGTTCAGTTTCACTCTTTTGTGTGTGGATATCCAGTTTTCCCAATACCATTTATTTATCTTTTCCCACTTGTGTATTCCTGACATCCTTGTCAAAGTTTAATTGACCATACATACATAGACTTATTTCTAGGCTCTGTATTCCGATCCACTGGTCTTTGTGTCTGTTTTTATGCCAGTACCATACCGTTTTGATTACTTTAGCTTTGTAATATAGTTTTGCAAAAACTCCTAACTTCTCACCTCTCATGACCCCAGTGTGTATATATGTCTGTCTGTATGCTGGGTTGGCCATAGATGATGTATGGGGAACAGATACAAGTACACTTTATTTTATAAGTAACAAATACTGATTAGGACTATGTTCTGAACCTAGCACAGTGTTAGCTACTGAGTGGGTATCAAAGGTAATAAAGTATGTTCCTTACCCTTAAAGCTTTTCCTATAAGAACTAGCTAGGGAAAAAAATGATACATATATGAGAAGTAAACTGATAGTGTAAGTTACTAAATAGATGATTGTGCCATAGAAGTCATGTAAGCATAACTATAGCATGCATTGTCATGGCTGAGAAAGGCTTTGGTGTGAAGAAGAGGTCAAGGAGAACATACTATAGCAGATTGAGGCATGCAGTAATGACTTCTGTGTCTACCATGAAATATGTTTCTTTTACTGTAGGTAGTACAGTGTCTACATCTAACAAGATAGTCCCGTTGGAACAAAGAAAGGAGCCATGGACTCTAGGTCTGTATTCCTCTAGCAAGAGGAATATCAAGGAAAAGTCAATTCATGCTGTTAAGATCCCTGCAAGGAGTGCAGGAAAAACATGGAGAGAGCAGCAACAATGGGGTTTAGAAGATGAAAAAATAGCAGGTGTGCATTGGAGTTATGAGGAAACTAAAACTTTTCTTGCAATTCTCAAAGAATCTCGCTTCTATGAAACACTTCAGGCTTGTCCCCGAAATAGCCAGGTATATGGTGCTGTGGCTGAATGGTTGCGAGAATGTGGCTTCCTCCGAACTCCAGAACAGTGTCGGACCAAGTTCAAAAGTCTCCAGAAGAGCTATCGAAAAGTGAGAAATGGCCACATGCTAGAACCCTGCGCCTTCTTTGAGGACATGGATGCTTTGTTGAACCCTGCAGCCCATGCTTCATCCACTGATAAGCCAAAAGAGATGATATCTCTTCCCAGACTGAAGAGAATTGGCATCACTGCTAAAGAACAGATCAGTTTGGTAGAGGAGGAGGAAGCTGCAGAAGATTCTGATGGTGATGAAATAGGCATTGAATTTGTTCGCAAGTCTGAGATCCGTGGTGCCCCTGTCTTGTTTCAAAACCTAAGTGGTAAGAATTGTGCTTTCTTTTTCTGGTATGAAAATGGATGTGTGGAAAAAGAAGTAAACTAGAAGCAACCAAACCTGGCGAGTGCTGTCAGCATCCCTTGCCACTTCACTGTGATGTGGCCACATAACTGAAAGTACTCTCAGATGTTTGTTGCTATGCCCAGTGCAGGCTGAGTAAAAGCAGTGAGTGGCTGTGGAGTTTTCTTTTTCAGTTTAGAGCACAGCGTGGGTTTTTGAGTATTTGGGGCCTTGTAGAAGGAAGATAGAGCTAAATGGTTCTAAGGATCTGAAAATTGATATGAAGCAATCAATTGTATTTGATTATAATAAGTCAAGGATACATTATTATAACCAGTAAGAGAATATATAATAAGTCAAAGGAGTGTAAAAAACAAACTAAAAATTTTTGCTTAATCTAAAAGAAGACAAAAAAGGAGAGATAAAGGAACACAAAATAGATGTCAAATTGAAAGAATATAGATAATAGATAAAACTTCTAATATATCATTAATGACAATGAATATACATTAAAAAACAACTATATGTTGCTTATAAGTGTTATATCTTAAG